TTTCAAGGTGGTTCATTGCAATTGATTATGTCACCAGCTTTTTTAAGCGTATTAAATACTGTGTATTACATACTGTGTCTGCATACTAATTGGAAACTAGATTCTTTTCAGAATATCCCAAGTACTTAATACTTTCACATCAGGAAGAAAGGAATCTAAACTTAGTACTGCTAGCCTTTTGTATAAGAAAGCTAAGAGGAAGAGCCTAGAGAAACATGTAGGTGAGGAATAAAACCAGATGATAACCACTGCTCATATAATGATCAGTTTAACAGCAATATCTGTCTATATGTAAGTGCATTTCCCCCCCTACTCCTATGTCAGTGGCCTGATTATCTACTATTATTCAAGTTTTCTTTGAACGGTTTTGTGCCCTGAGCACTGATATTTTATTTCTAATGAAGAATTCACTGTACATAAGTCAGTTTAACATCTCAGTTCAGAAGGTACAATAACACCTCTGAATTGATAACTGTTAAAAAAGCTAATTTTGGCTTAAGACTGGTACTGTTTAGATTAATGAAGCATGAAAATCTTCATACACTCAATCTGCCTAAGTCACCATCATTAATTTATGTAGGGAGACTGTGTGTTGCTGTGTGTCTTCTCAAGCATCTATTTTCTTTGGGTTTCTGTTTTGGTAGGTTTCCATGTGTCTGAGGCAAAATACTGAAGTTGTCTCAGCTCTTGGGTAGTGTTTTCCAAAAGACTTGGGGGGAAAATTAAAAAAGATGCTTAGGCACCTTAAATACCTTGGAAAAGATCTGGCACTTTGAGTAGGTTGACTTAGGAGCTTAATTCAAGTTGGTGATTGAAAATTGAAAATTGAAAATTTTATGTCGCATCTCATGCTTATATGCTGCAAGGTTTTAATAATTTTTCATCTGAAAAATATCATCTGGATTCCATTAAATGTAGTCTTATTTTACTATTTAGTGATCCTTAGCTGATCCTATAACTTTCTTTATTTCCCAAGATTTGAATATTTGTTTTATAGCCTGAACTGGCACTAAACTGCAGTGACCAGGCACACCCCATTTTATAGGATCATCCCATCTTTAAAATCAGGATCCAGTTTTTCTGATAAATGAAATAAGGTTAACAACTTATCCTGTGTTTTGGCTTTAAGGTAAATATTTTAAAATAGTCTTTTTTTTTCATGATGCGGCCAGCCAGGGCACTCAAACTTGAGTTTACCAAAATTATAAACCCTTTTTTTTGTTCTAATGCAACGGAGCTGCAGTGGGTGAGTAGGGCTCGTAGGTGCTCCAGTAAGTTATCCAGGGGGTGGTAAAAGCCTTCTGCAGCTATGCTGATGCCTGTTGCACACCAGTCTCTGCAGTTACTGGTGATGCGGATCAAAGCTTTCTGTTTTCTAATAGGAAAATAAGTAAGATCAATAAATACATGGAGATAAATAAATGGACAGGAGGACAATACAAAAGGGCTAGTGTCATGACTAAAATTGTAATAAACAATACTGAAGTGGTGAATGGAGGACTAACTGAGTAAAACCACATATATTTGTTATCCTAGTAACTGAAGCAAGTTCTACCAACATGTGCTCCTCTCTATTATGAATGAATTCCTAATGGTGTTGGAGCAAATTTATTTAAAAATACAGTTAATGTTACACTCGTTCCTCCTCAGGCAATGGCTGTTTTATAGCTGCAGCATGTCTTGCAGCAAAACTTGTATCATGCAACAGAGACCATTTTGCTAATTTAGAAGTTGATTGATAAATTGAACATAATTTTTTTTTAAGCTTGCAGTTGCTCTTAATTGAGATCTGAACAGGTTTCCTTCCAGACACTGAATTGCTTTCTAAATGGAAATGATGGAGTAAAGTGCTTCCCTTTCCACTGCTGGTTTGCTGTTTCTGCTAAGCTCCAGACTGTATGGGTGACTTGTAGCACCGCTGTGTAGGTTGGTGATGAATGTTTAAATGCTGGTTTCCATTTTATTAGATGACAATTCATCCCGGCCTTATCAGCACAGGTAAATTAAAGTGCTGATTGACCTTGCTCTGCTGCGTGTTCATCTCCTCCTAAACTAGTAGAACTCAGTATTTCTACTGCAACAGACTATATATCTTTGTGTATACTTCCCCTGGCACGGGTGGAGGAGTAGATGCTCCGGTATTGATCTGTATCCCCTGAAGGCTTCAGCTTTGTGCTGCATACAGTGTTTACGTTGCCAGTTTTGGGAGCGTTGGATGTTTCAACCCAAGCATTAGGCAGGGCGCTACCTAGTAAATCTTTTCCTGTGCTATGAAAACAGTTTGCTGATCTGGACTGGTGGTGGAAACGTTACCTGAGGTGTCCTGGCTGTAGACAGGGGCCCTGTGAATCTGTTCTCCACCTTTGTGTTAGTTACCTGTGTTCTTCACCTTTGCATTAGTTACCTGTTTGCAGATCAGGAGACTTGGAAGTGCTGTGTGTCAGTGCCTGGGCAGTGCTTTGGGTACTTCCGTTCTAAACACCTGAGCTCTTCCTGCATCTCTGATTTTGCCTCTTTCTGAATTTGTTCTGCTTCTGCTGCATTTTGAGGAGTGTGAGAACTGAATGTATTACTCCAAGAGAAGGGGGGTGTGTGTGTGTGTTTATTTTTAATGTATACATATTTTTTGCCCATTCTGTACATATCTTGACAAGCTGTATGAATAGTTTAGTTTATCTTGACCACTTGTGCTCAGTGTGCAGGTGTATTTCCAGGAATGATGTACAAATGATGCTGAGTCATTTCTCCTTTGTGTCCCTCTGCTATGAATTTCTCTTCTAAATTATCTGCCCAGGGAGAAGTCGGGTGTATACTTGAATATTTCAGCTTTCTTCCACTGTGTGTTACCTTGGTTTTGTCAACATTATCCTATTGTAACTGGGAGAATTAATTTAAGATAATTGATAGATGAAAAGGTCTTTTATTTTTTTGCAAAAATAAAACTGTTCTAGGTAGCATCAAAAGTGAACAGCATTTGTGGACTAGGCTCTTCAGTGGCATTACCAACAAGTTGTGGAGTTCAGCTACCAGAAATCAGCTTTCCTTGCTTGAAATTTCTTAATGGCTTCAGTATGAAATGTATTTAAAGCTAAACCCTTTGAAACAAACCAAAGTGCATTATGCATTCCAAGTAATAGACAAACAATATTGTATTTTAGCAGTTCGTTAGACTTTATTAGGTAAATACTGTATTGTTTCACCAGCTATCAGGCTAATAAATAGTATCTGTAGATTGGCTTTACTTGATGATAAACCATTTTTTTTATAGGAACTGTGGAAACGAAGAGCGTGGCAGATAGGATTTCAGAGAACAATGCTGCTAAACTGCAAGAGAAAGCTGAACCAGGCATTGCAGTGAAACAGGAAGGTAAGGAGAATAAAAACTTGACTGCCTTGGAAAGTCTGAGTGCTTCAGGGTTGAACTCGAATGCATGCAGCTAAGGAGGGTGATTTACACTTAATCCAACTGCTGCCTTGTGTTTTAATCACGACTTGTAATTAATGTCCTGGTTTGAAAAATGTATGTTCCCTGATAAAACAGTTACTTTATGTTCTCTCCTTCCTTACTCTTATCCAAGTTTTCAGAGGCCAGTGCTTACAGTGTCCCAAGGAAAATGCAGGGCTGCTGTGCCTGAATCCCTTGGTTACTTTTTCTATGTAGAAACGGAATCATTGCACATTGCCTTTTTGTACAAGTATTTGGGAGCCTCACTTAGTGTTTGCATTTTACAGGATTTTAGAGGAAAATTCCATCTCTGCATTCTTATTTCTCAATTTTTTTCCCCCCAAGTTGTATATAGCTCCCAAGGTATGTGTTGTTAATGAGGTATTTGTATCCAGCTACAGCATACGTCGAGCCGTAGAAGCAAAGTGAAGGAGGAAGAATTGAGATTTAAGCAAAATGCTGTGGTTTTATTTTCTCCAGATCCAGATGCCTGACCTAGTTAGGAGAGTTGATACCATGTATGTGGGAGGTCAAAGGCTGTTTCCCAGTACACCTGTGGCCTTCAGGGCCTCATAGCTGTGTCAGTCTAATGAAATGTAGATGGTTGGCCAAGACATTTCCGTGACCTTATACAACTGGGACAACTTCCATCCTAATTCCTTTTAATCTTTTGGAGCACTCTTGTTGATTGGAATGTATCTGTTACGGAATACAACTTTCTATCCCTCTATTTCTAATTTGAATCTAAGAGGAGTACCCCAAGGTTCATTGCTGATTTGGATTGGATTCTTGGGGTAGAACCAAATATTGTATTGTCTGGTCTTTATTTTCAGCTTTATTCAATAAGATGGCATAAAATAGTAGTGCATTAGTGAACATTAATTTTCTCTAAGTTCCTGTAGAGAAAATGTGTTGCTCACACATTCAGTAGCTTTCACAGTTGGAATGTGAAATCAGTTATAACAGTCGTTGCAGATAGCTGCGTGGATGCGATTTGGCTGTAGTAGTGATCACCTGTCCCTTCCTGCTTTTCTGCTGCATTCTTGTGTCTTTAACTGCAAATGAAAGTCATGAAAGTTTCCAAAGGAAGAATCATATATAGGATTTTAAAAACATTGTTTACTGGCTGAAGTAAAGTTATTTTCCTGGAGTATATGCTTCTGGAGTATTATTTCTGCTTCAGTTATATTCTGTTTCCAAGCACTGAGGCTCTGAACCTTTCCACTGTGGTTTTTTTTTTTTCCTTTTTTTTCTTTATAAATGAGGATTTGCCAGCACATCAGTTATTCTCCCTTGGTGTCCTCCGTTAGGAATGCACACTGGCTTGTTCATGGCAGCCTCTTAAATAAGAAGTGTATGTTTAAAGCTTTCTGGCAAAAGGGTGTGTTGGCCTGCCTCAGCTATTTGCTCATACACCCCTGACATTACTTAGGTTCCACTTTCTTTAGACACACGTAGTTGCACCCACTGTGGCAAGAGGGAGGAACAGTTGGATTTCACTCTATAAAGTGTAGGCCTGCATAAGGCTTTGTCAGAAACTGGTGATAATTTTGGGTTTTTCTGAACCTTGTTAAATTCTAAAACAAGCTGGTTTTGGGGGTTGGCAGAGAGGCTGGGAGGGCAGTGTCTTGAACCAAGTCTCACTGATCTAATTCTTCAGGCAGTGTGTATTTATTACTATATGTATGGATTTAACATGGATTACATTATATATATTAGCATGTGCTAATGGGAAGGAATGGGAAGTGCGAAGGCAGGAAGGCTTTTGTGGGTGGTGGCAGTTTACATTAGTGGGATGGTTTAGGAAACTCTGCTTAGTTTGCCAGTGCCCTTTGAAGCATCCTAGAAATTGCAGTCCTTGTAAGATGCTTAGGCACTGTCTTGTTTGCTTACGTTGCTGGTTGGTGGTGCTGTTTGGTTGGTTAATTCTGCATTGGATTTATACTTCAGCTAACTCAAGTGGAATTAAATGGAAACTAGGTGTTGAAACTGGTTGACAATCACAGTTGCTGTCCTGAACTCCAAACCTATATTTGGAATAGGTTAGTTGGAGAGGAGCAGAAGATAGTTCTTCCACAATGTTTTCAAGGGTTCAGGGGGCACTTAGGACAACTTGAAAAATAGTATTATATTCACAGAATCATAGAATCACAGAATGGTTTGGGTGGGAAGGGACCTTAAAGATCATCTAGTTCCAACCCCCCTGCCATGGGCAGGGACACCCTCCACTAGACCAGATTGCTCAAAGCCACATCCAGCCTGGCCTTGGAAACTTCCAGGGATGGGGCATCCACAGCTTCTCTGGGCAACCTGTTCCAGTGCCTCACCACCCTCTCCAGGAAGAATTTCTTCCTGATATCTGATCTCAACTCCCCACTTTCAATTGAAATCTGTTACCCATTGTCCTGTCACTACAGGCCCTTGTAAAAAGGAGCTGGGAGCTGGGTGCATGTAGAGGCAAGGGAGGGACTGTACGCACTTCCCACAAACCTGCAGAAACCTGCTGTGCCAAAGATCAGTGATGGCTTTCTGGTACGGGAAGTGAAGCTGTACTATTAACAGACTGAACAGAACACAAAAAATTAAAACTCTCGGATGCCCTCACACATCTCCCCGAGCCTGTCTGCATAAAAGCTGCCAGCGAGTTCTTCATTCGGTCTGACTTTCCCTGGGCACCCGTGGTCACCACTGGGCTGTCTCCGCTCCTGCGATTCCACGTGCGGGCTCCAGGCAGAGCCTTTATGCAAAATCAAGTTTTTTATTAAGGAGGAGACCTCTGATTTTTATTTCTCTGTACTTCTGTGATCTCCATCATGTAGGAAAATGCCTTTCTCTGTGTGGAAAAGGCAATTTTGAAATCCCTGTGGCATCCATTAGCCAGAGATGCTAAATTAGGTACCCAGGGAAGCGCAGGAAGCTCGTGGTACAGACAGCAGCAGAGCACAACTTTCTGACTCTGGCCTGGCTCTGTCTTAACACAGGGATCACTCCAGCTCGTGTGCCAACAGCCACGGGGTTGGTTGATGCACGGTGGTTGTTCTGTAAGACTGAGGGTAAACATAATGCTTACGGTTGTTAAGGGTATTTGTGTATCTTCCTTATGTATCTTGATCGTACTCTCTGTCATGATAGAGGATGGTCTAACCTGGGCTTGCAGGTGTGGGTTCGTGCCCTTAACTGCACTGGACAGGTCAGAGTAACTCGGTGGGAAACTGGGAAGGAGCGTTAAACTGGTTCCATCCAATTTAAACTGCAAATGGCATCAACCTCATGGAGTTGGTGGGATTACAGAAAAAGCCTTCATCCTTGAATCATAGAATCCCTGATGGTGAAAGGGATGGACAGGTGGAGGTCAGCCAGTCCAACACCCTGCTCAAATCTGGGTCAACTAAGCATACCAGTATAGGAAAATAAGAAGTTAATGTAAACAAAAGAAGGGTTTTAAATAGACCCCATCACAGAGAATATAGTTTTTAAAAAGATGGTTTTTCCTCTTACAATTCTGGGCAATGGGTAACTTGAAATATTGCAAATGTTACCATGCAACTGTGGAAGAATTGAGTGAGATGATGTCATTTTCATAAATGAGGGAATTTCACAATATTAAGAAGCAAAATAGAAAATAAAGTTTAAATGTTTTTTCAGTGTCCCTTTTGAATTGTGAATGCTCAGAGATGTTTTAAAACTGGAAGTTCACAAGATATTTAACTTTTTTATAAGCTTATAGAATTTTATTTCTAATTTTAAAAGTTTGTCCTGTGATGCATTTCATGAGCACATATTCAAGTATAGTGCTGATAAGTCATAAGAAATGTTAGATTTGCCTTGCCAGCTAAGCCAAAACTGTATGCTTGTTTCATTTAATAGAAGGACAGCCAGAGAACGTGGCTCCTGAAAAGCCTGCAGTATCTGAAAATGGTGAAGTACCTAATGATCTTCCACCTCAGCCCATCCAAAGGTTTGTTCCTATCCTTTACCCTGTTTGATCCAAACTGTGATTTGTCTGGTGGGAATACAGTCAGTCCATTCGAAAACAGCAAGGAAACTTGGAGCAGTGTTTCTGTAGTGGTACCAAATAAGTATTATCCAATGTATGGGTCCCTTTATTCACTTTTGTTTCTGTCTATAAGAAAAGTGTTTGGGACTTAATTTCTTCATCCATAAAGTGCTTGGATGTAATGTTACTGAGATGTGAGGGGTGTGTGGAGAGTCTAATGAGAAGAATGTTGCATTACCTACAAGCATTTCCTAAGTATGGTGTTACAGACAAGGCAAACTTGCCTTTAAAATCCCAATTTACTTTTTCTTTGCCTGGCGAAGGCTTGTGTAATTGTACCACTTGTGATAATAATTCTTTATTGTTCACATTGCAGTGTGTACTGTTAATGCTAAAATTGTTGTTAATGGTAAATAACTGTGCTGTGTAGAGGTTATTTTTAGTGAGACAAATTAAGAGGTGGCTCTGCATGGAATCATAATTTTTTGGGTTAGGACACATTTTCTAGATTGTCCTAGACTCCTACCAGAATAGCATGTATTGCGATATTGGGTTGTATAGTGAGGATGTTTTCAGTGTTAAATAAGCATCAGCCAATTTACTCCCTGCGTGTGTGTGTACGTGTCTGGTCTTTGGAGGACGTGAGGCTTCCTCTTGTATTGTAAGTGAAAAAGCCTCTTTGCTGTTGCAGACGTGTTCCCCGTCCTAGCACTGCAAGACCAGCACCACCCCGAGTAAAACGTCAGGAAAGCACAGAGGCCTTACTTCCAGAAAGGTAAAGTACATCGGAGACGCAGAGCAGGTGTTTCTCGTTCTTGTACTACAGTATTCTCGGATCTTTGGTGCCTCACCTGCTGCTTTAGGATGGATGATCCCACTGCTTATTGATTCAGACTGGAAAATTCAAGCCTGCTTTATTTGTTTTATTGTTTCTGCAAATCCAGTGTATTAGCTAAAAGTTACGGTTGGTAGTCGCATCTGGAAGTTCAAAACATGATTTATTTTTTTTGCCTTTGGGAACTCTGAAAGGATAACCCTAGAACGTTAATCTAAACTGCTGCTGGAAGAGATCTGCAAAACACGCAGGGAAGATCCTGTGTTTGAAAAAGCCTGAAACAGTCATTTGAATCTATGGACAAAATGGCTTTCTTGATCTCTGATAAGTGCTAGTCACTGAAGCAGCGTGTTTAGAAGGAAAATACATGTCCTTTTGTGGGAGAAGGATGGCTAACTGTTTGCAAAATTGGGCAGTGAATGGAAATGACAGAATTTGATGTGCTTTTAGTTGGTGCTGCTTTATTTTATGGGAGGAAGAAGGAAGGGTACTGCTGTTTCTTCTATTCTGGATAGATCTTAATAGATTTATAGAATCATAGAATGGTGATTTGGACAGATAGATTTGAATAGAATAGATTTGGACAGATCTTCATAGGTTTTCATTTTCATTGTGTCCCTTACAGGAGCGGTAGTGGTAAAACAGTCTCAAACGTGATCACAGACCGGCAGACTTCTGATGATGATGATGACCAGTTTGTGGTGGAGGCAGCACTGCCGCTGCCAGAAATGCCAGAAGTGGAAATGGTCAGTTCATGTTGTGAATTATAGACCCTTTTTTCCGTACTTTGTTTGTAACTTACTAAGTAGCTTCTAGCTGAATATTTTTGAATAGTTGTATATTATAGCAATGCCAACCTTTTCAAACGAAAGCTCTCTTCCTGCATCTGTAGGAGCCAGAAGTGGAGCTGGTTGAGGATGAAAAGCATGGTATGTTTGATTTTACATCTATTTTTATGCAAATGGAATAAAATGCTGAACACTTAAAATGCTGAATAAAGCAGAAAAATACCTCCTGAGGGTAGGAGCTTGCAACTTTTGCAAAAAAACCCCAGAAATTATATATCAAACACAGTCTTGTTTAGTTGAGCAGCTGGATTTGCGACTGATGTTAAATGCAGCTCTTCTATACATCTTTAAAGTCAGCAGAATTTAAAATTCTGCATAAACGTCATAAATTAATGGCTTTTGAGTGTCAGGTACAGCTCATCAGCTCTGAGATATGAGGTGGTATTGGCTGTTCTAGGCAAATTACAAAAAAAACTTGTGTGGACCGGTTCTTAACAACATTTATGCTTACCTGTGACCTCAGATCTGTGATTCAGGGGCTTCCATTATGGTTACAGTGCATGCGATTTAGGCAGATACACTTACCTGCATCCAAAAATTCCTAGCAAAGGAATATATACATCTATATACCTATCATGTGCCGTTCTTGAATTCTTCCAAAACAGGGGTGCAGAGGAAGAGCCTTTGTGTTAGTGCAGCTCAAGGATCTGGTTCTGTACCAAGAGTCATTCAGTAAATGATATTGATGATACAGTTTGATTATAGGACATTGGAGAAAATAGATGAAATAACAAATACCTTGTACCTCAGTAAATAGAACACACAATAGAATGCTGTTCATGTTGCTCTAAAAAAGTGTTCACATTAAAAAATAAAAAATTAAGCAGTTGTTATTTTTTATTGCCTGAATGTTTAAAACAATACTTCAGTGTCAACCAGTGCTGAGAAATATTCTGATTTTTCAACAGGTGGGCTTGTAAAAAGAATCCTAGAAACTAAGAAAGATTATGAGGCATCACAGAAAGCATCAGCGACAACAGAGAGGGTAAGATGATAATGGCCTTCACAGAACTGTGAATATTAAATATTGTAATGGTGACCTTTTTCTCTGCCTTAAATTGGGGTGTTTTTTCATTTATGATCAAGATTTCCTCCTTGATCTGTTATGCTGCCTTTTTTCTCCATGAGTCTGTCAGATGTTGTTACCTTCTCTGTGCAGTGCACTCTCACCTCTAATTTTTGTGGTTTGAATTTCAACCCCCCCCCCATATTTCAGTACAATTTTTCAGAGAGCCTTCTTTAGCCTATTCTTTTGTTTTCCAGAGCAAGGTCTGCTGTTTTCAGCCTTGCCCTAGATGCAGTAGGGCACCCTGTGCATTTGTACAGCTGTACCGTTATTGTTTCAATCTTACTTGTCCTCTGGGCATTTGAAGAGCAGTATCCTGTTGCCCAGCAAACATTATCATTGTCTAAAAACCAAAGGGATCTCTGGTGCAGTTAACCATATAAACTATTTTCATATCACTGAATGTTTCCCTGGTAATGTCCTAGCATTCAGGTCTGAATCTATGAAGTGATTTAAATTGATTTGATTTTTTTCCAGTATCAGGAATTGGGAAAGGGAAGGTTTTGTTGTTGCTGGTTTGTTGGGTTTTTTTGGGGTTTTTTTGGTGTTTTTTTCTTTTGATCGGTTAAAAAGGGTCCAGAAAGGGTCTAGCAGTGATCACAAACCAAAAGCAAAAGGTTGAACCCTCCCCGATTTCAGCATCTTCCTGTTACAACTGGAGAGCTGTTGCTTTTTCAGCCTTGCAGAGCTCATGTTACAAGAAGCAGCAGAAGGCCTTTTAGATGGAGTCTTCTGATCCGTGGGCCCTTTGGAAAGTTTCTAAATCACTGGGCTAGTTTGATGTGTTGGTGGGGAGGCACCGAGGAATGTGGTGCAGAGTTAGGAAAATACAGACAGGTACGTAATGTTTTGGAAAGGCAAGTGCTTTTCATGAACTTGTAAATCTTCAGTTCCAATCCCATCTTCTCTTTTTTTTTTTTTTTAAATGTTAATTCAGTATTGTAGGTTTTTACTACCTATATTCTTTTTCAGGAATGTTCTAGAGTTTGGCATATTGTTTTAAGGTGCTGCAACCCAGACCTCGAGAGTCCAGCTTGTCACGGAGCATCAAGCTCTTTCAGACCACAGTCTGAAATCAGTAGTGACTTTCAAAGCCTTGACTGCCTCTCTTGGCTTTATCAGCTGTAGTAATCTGGCAATGAGGAGGGTTATTATGATAGGTTATGAGCAAAGTGTACAGCAGGAAAAAACCTGCCCTGAGGGACTAAAACCCTGGTAGACTGTAGATTTTTAAAAAGCTGTTCTTACCTAGAACCTGTATGACTTTACCATTGCTTCTACAGTCTGCAGCAAAAGTGACACAGTGTTAACTTTAAGGACTGGAATTTTGGGAGGGCAAAATCAATAATTCTCTCCTCTTAAGCAGAGATACTCCACATGCTTTTGTGTCCAGTGGTAATGGGTCATGCTGCCATACAGACCATCCTTTTCATTTCTTCCCCATCAACCTGAGAAAGTCGGGGAGGCAGGTCAGACCCTGGTGGAAATATCTCCCTATCTCAAGTTTGGGACTGTCTGAAATCCAGGCCTGTTTGGCTGGAAGAAAATTTCTTTCGTGTATTGCAAGGGATGAGGTTAATGAAGAAAATGAATCCTTTAAAAGAGGAAAACACCTTTTGTTTCCTGGTCATAATCTGTTAGGAATAGTTACAGCTTTATGAACTTGCTGAATCACATACCATTTCTAATAAACTTGCCTCTCATAGTGTCGGTGTCCTGGTCATTGAAACACTGTTGACCGATTCTAGGGAGTACGTCTGATGTGAAAATTTGCCTGCTTGAGTAAGTTCCGTCTTTTATAGAAGTATTTGGAGAAAGGAAGGGGTAAAAGTTGATGTGGCTCGTCACTGGAGTGCATGTTGAGCTGGCATTTGGAGAGCGAGGGATACAGCTCTTCCAGTTCCTGATTTTATAACTAGGTGGTGCTGTTGAATCATCTGTCTCCAGTCTGAGTTTTGGTAGTAGTTCATTTAGTCGTGTCTCCCACCAGCACATAATTGTGCTGTAGGCTGTGCTGTTCGGGACTGCGTCCTGTCAGCTTGAGCGCTGGACATAGAAGGGGACAATGAGGGGGAGGGTTTACAGAGCCGCATGGATTTCATGCTCTGGAAGCTTCCTCTGATGTTTGTGCTAAATTGTCTGCGTTTTTTTCTGAATAAAAGTAACTGAAACGATTCCCTTTAACCCCTTATATTTTTTTTAAATGCACGTGGACAATTGTGTCCTTCTACAATAACCATTTAGTCCCGTTGCCTGTTTTCAGTCTGTAAAATGTTCATTCAATCCTTGTTTGGCTTTTGTTGCACCTTTTAAAGCCCTGATCTGTGTTAGCAGCACTGATAATAGAACACTAATTCTGGAAACCCCCCCTCCCCCTGCTGACTTCCTAGTCCATCCTGTGAAAACTCGCATACCACGCTAAACTCCTGGAATATCATCTGATCTCATATCCAAACAGCTGGCTGCCACTGCAGTAGGTTTCTCTGCTGCTACTGCTTTTCAAATTATGATGAAGAAGTCGCTGTGATCCAGAGAGAAGCCCAGCTTTCCTGACAGCAGAGGGGGGGGGAAAGAAAAAAAACAGTGGAAAAGCTGAATAAAAATGCTCAGAGTTAGTAACTGGGATTGGACAGATGTAGTTCAGAAAACATGAGCTGGAGACATGACTGAATCCTGGGAATTTATTTAGAGGGTAGAGACGCTGTGGCGCAGGAGACAGTAAAAGTAAAAAATACATTTCCAACGTGAGACAGTAAAAGTAAAAAATACATTTCCAACGTGGCGTTGCCTCTGGGAGTATTTCAGGGACCAGGTATGCAGGGGGTAGCAGGTGGGGGTCTGTCACGTTCGCGTGGCCCTGGCATCACGAGCGTGTCCCATCTCCAAGGGGTGTTGCTAACAGCATGAGGAAGGCAGTGGCAGGACTTCTTGCAAGACTGCAGACCAGCAGCTTTGGGAGAAATAGTTACTTGTCTGTGGAATCTCTTTGGAGAGAGGCAGCAAAAGTAATTAAAAAAGAAGGAAGGGTTTCAAGTGGATTGTTCTTGCCAAGTGGTCTAGGCAGGCAAGTGGAACCGCGTCCTGTCGTGTTGATGGGACTGTGAGAATGGGTCAGTGAACTCTGGCCAGTGTGCTGTGCTCAAATGGCTGTGGGTTTTGTGCCAGGTCTAGCTCTGCAGTCTGCTGGGAAGCAGGATCAGTCTGGGATTTGACCATTTCTCCCCAGACTGTCAGCTCTCTCATTTAATTTGTTTTCCATCAAACTCTCCAGAAGAAATATCTTCTGCATCAGCATGCAACTGTATTCCAAAACATATTAGGTACTGAAGAGTAAAATGTAACTGTACTTCTGTATTTTTGGCGTAAGGTAACCAAAAGTCCAGTGAAAATTTGAAAGAATACTTGCTTTGGGAAATTACATCGGATGAAATTTAGGATATCCTTGTGTCTGTCAGTAAGAATGTTCATCTTCCCTTGTTTTGTTAAACTATTCAATACATACAAAAGAAGTGGAATATTTTCTCAGTTACATTCATTAGTCTTTAAAGCCCTGTTCTTCTGCCAGTTGGAAAAATGAAGGGCCTAAAAAAAAAAGTGTTTGTAGTCTGAGTGCTGGAACTTTGGGCTAATACTATATTAAGAACAGCATTCAACAAAAAAAATGGTCAATGGATCTACCTGATTTCTTGTGGATTGATCAACTAGAAATCAGGTGAAATTGGTTAATTAATACTTCATCCAGATGTAACACTGCTGAACTCTTGGGGATGTTTCACACCTTTACTTCTGACTGCTGAGGAGCATTTATTTGTGTTAAAAGCATTCCTCTGAAACCTTTTGTATGCCGTGTTTCCCAAACGTGCGTTTGCTTTTTAAGAAGTTTTAATGAAGAAAAAGAAGAGAAAAGGAAAGAAGACTGTGACTTTCATCATCTAGGCTTTACATGTGCAGAAACTTAAAATAATATACACAATTTTCAGGTCAAACAAAGAGGTCATTCTGGAAATACACAAGATTTTTGCTGCCTTGATTAGCTGTGCTCAGCCTAACAAATTCCTAAAAAGACTTCCTAAATGTATTTGTTTAGAATCTAACCCTCTAATGTTAAACAGAGAAAGAAACAGATGTTCCATTTTGTATTCCACTTCATTTATTTGATGTGTGGAAAATGTAGGCAGGTTATTAAACAGTTTAAGCAAGTGGGATCACAGAATTCCCATCTTTGCACTACCAAATACAGTTCACGGGCTTCGGAAAAGAAGCAGCTTTGAGGTTTCTTTGAGGAACAAGTGATATTAAATAGCTTAGCACCTGGATAATATTAACTTTAATTGTAAATGTGATAAATTAAGTATGTACTTGCAAGCTTAGAAAAAATACAATCGTCGCTGATTCTGTTTATTTAAAGTTCTTCAGGTCATGGATTTTTACATTAATCCATCAGCTGCACGACATTGGGTGTCCCCTCCAGTCAAGGCAATTAGCAACACGCCACGTTAACCAGATGGATTCACATCTCCCACCATTTAAGTATTTTTTTGAAGACTCTCACCATTCCAGACCAGAGTTTCAGCAGTGCAAGCAGAAAAGGAAAGCAGGGCAGGACCGGCACCCGATATGCCATTATGGCTGAATTAATACTCTCTGCTAGCGTTAATTACCGCTAGAGTTGTCTCTTGGCATGTGTGTGGTCAGGCTCGTAGGATTCCGCTTAGCATGCTGAATAGTGCACCACATACGTGAGGTTTTATGAACTGCCTTCTCCCCGGCACGGACTGAATGTGAGGTAAAGCAGACTGGCTCTGGGGGCTGAGGCGGGGTGTTTATGTACCTCTGAAAAGTCCTGCTCTTTTAGAGGTATCAGATGTGAAGTGGGGAGGGAAAAACCACCACCACTCCCCCTCCCCTCCAACAAAAAA